CTCTCTTTGTCTATTTTACACATAGATTTTACATATTGTCAATCTATATTACAACAATAATTTTTATTTTATATATTGTTATTTCAGTTTATGTAATCTTGCAATAATCATTACAATTATGAAAAAATGATTTTCTTTATGCTTTTAAAGAAACTTGATAAAATTCTTTAACATTATTTAAAAAAATAAATACAATACTAAAGGAAAAAAAGTAAAAAAAATTTCGTAACCAAAAGTATTCAATGCAAAATTACACAAATAAAACCTTATAGAAATAGATATAGATTAAGATTAGTAAATTTATTGGTTGCACAAAATGTGAATGTGTGGATTTTCGTTTGAAACATTTCCTTTTCCTGCTAAATATTAGAGATGTTAAACGAGCCAATTCTAGCGGTTTTCGAGCTAGCTCTAGCGTGCTTCGGGTTAAACGATTCGAGCCTAAAAAGCCTTGATTTAAACAAACTGATAAATAGAGGGAAAAACAAACAAACCTTGCCTTCTGTTTGCCAAGATCTGATTTCTCCTGGAGGTGCCAAACCAACGTAAGCACCATTTGCCACTATATCATCCTCACTTACGAATCTAAAATAAAATTGACAAAAAATGTGTTCATATTTAATCAGTAGCTTTTGAAAACCAAGCTTACAGAAATAGAATTGAATAATGCCATGAGGAATAATTAGTACACTCTATTTAGTTATGGGAAAACGCTACAATCCCATTACGTAATCATTCCGTCAGGATTTGTAGCCATTAGATCATCATGTAATCGTCGTAGATAGTTGATTTAACGGTTATAAACCCCGACGGAATTGTTTCGTCGGCATTGCCCCTCTCATCTAACCGTTGATCATCATGTTACCTACCTGTCTCTAACAAGTAATCTGCCACCGGCATTGCCCCTCTCATCTAATTTTGGGAAGTCCTGTGATGCTGGAAAACTATAGGGCCAATTTTCAACTTGTTCCAATGCCTATAAAGATAAACAAAAAAATATATAATTTATTTGAATTAATGGGGGAGGATTTGTTATTATAGTTTATTTTATTATATTTTATTTTTCCTGGAGCATGTTGCATAACTCAATACATCATACATTTGCCCTGATTCGTGAAAATTGCAATTTTGGTCCACTAACTTAAATTATTTTCTATTTTTATCAACTAATTTATTGGAATAAAAAATGGTTTACTAACTATTAGAATTTAGTCAATTTTGTTCAATCTTGATCCCGATCGCCGGAAGCCGTTGAGATTATTATACTGAGCTGGAACTTTTGGCCGTCGGCTAAGCTGACGTGGACCATTTTCCGGCCAATTTATTGAGCTGGTAACTAGATAATAATATAAACTTTGGTTAAATATTTCTAGTTATGATTTTCTCTTTTTCTTTTTCTTTTTCTTTTTTAAAAAAATGTTTTTTGGAGGTCTATACGTGAATATTTAATATGTGAATTTATTGTTTATAAGTTTATAAAGTATTATAAATGCCTAAAATTATCTATGTTATATTATTTTAAAAATTCAAAATTTGCATATTGATAATTGACCAAAGTTAAACCCATCAAATTCATCTTCTTTTATTATAATTCTAAATATACTTGAAATGTTATCCAATTGATAATTAAACTTTATATTGTGTTTTTAAACTAGTGGGGAATCCCGTGCGATGCACGGGAATTTTGTAATAATTTTTTTTTTGCAAAACTTTATTTTAACAATGTAGTAGTCCGTTAATCCTTTTATATTAATATAAATAATTTTTTAACATATATATTTATTTTTTATTACAAAAATAATAATTTTACATATTTTGGTTCATAATAATATTCAAATATTATTTTATTAAAAAATTTATTTTTTTTATATATTATTTATAACATTTATAGAAGTAATATTCTTTTTGTATATAATGATAAATATTTAATGTATATTATTATTATTTATGTGATTAATTTAAAAATATATAAGTAAATTTAATGTTTGTTAGGAATGTAATAGATCTCGATATTTTAGGTACAAATATATAATATATGTACATATATATGATATGAATATCTTGAGATACAAAAGAAATTTTTATGTGATTTATTACCTTAATAAATCAGCCGCAATTACCTAAAATTGTATTTTTAAAACATACCATAAAGTGTTTAAATAGTTTCCCGAACTCGTAAATTAAACAACATTTTTTTGGCGAGAAATAGTTACTATTTAAAAAATAATCAAACTTATATATATATATATATATTTATTT